TTAGGCGAGAGCTTGCCCAGCTGATGGAGGAAGTCATCTGAAGCGCTGGTAGGAATTTGGCCTCATTTCCCCCCCCGCCGGAAAGCACTGTGCACATTTCGTGCCTAACGTACCGTGGTCTCATTAAGGACACCCAATGCAAAGTTGTTCCATTTACTGCTGACTGGAAAATGAGGGGCATTCACTAATTAAAACATATGTTGAGAAAAATAAAGGCAAAGGAAAGGTATGGTTTCCCCACATAGGCACATGAAGCATGGTGCTGAGGGACCACTGCGATTACGAAACCCCCCCCCGGCTGAATATCCACAGGTGTCCACCAGCATATGCAAAATTACCAGCTGTAAGCGGAAACCGGCAGCTGGCTTTTCCCACGTATCTAGGCAGTCAAACACCAATGTGCGTTTTGCCGCTTAAGAGGACTGCAGGAGGCTTTGTGCCACATCAGTCATTCTTCCAGGTGGCATCAAGAACGCCAGGTCCCTGCTTTGCAATTACAACACACGCTCACAGCCTTTCAGACACCCTTCTCTAGACGGTTCCCCTATTATGGGTCAGGAGAGGGATGTGACAAGTCAGCCCGACCCAGCCCTGCTGGGGCTGGAACACTCCGCGCTGCAAAAGAAGACAAGGATCCTGAGACTGATTAAATATCCCTCTCCAAGCCTTGGTCTGATCATAGAGCACCAGTACATTCAATTGAGGAAGGTCTCTCTGGGGACGCAGAAAACTGCAGGTGACTCACAGGTTAACAGGGACAGGCTGCTAAATTAACAGCATTGAAGGTAGGGTTGTTATTACAGCAGCAATGCGTGCAAAGCGGAACACCAGTGCTTGATTTTCTCTTTGCCGTGAACGCAGAAGTGCCAGGGATGGAAGGAGAGCTCGGGAGAGGAAGAGCAGAGCAAGACCAACAGGGCACAGAAAAGTCTGTTCTCCCTCAGCTGGAGTGAATGAACCTTCAATGCACCTTCACAAGTCTCAGCCCTGCACCCCATTTCACGGCTACCTCAGCAGGTACCTCACAACACGGAGGGCAGAACATGGCCTGGGCGTTCATCTTGTCAGTGCCACGCAGCCACAACGTGGCACCTAGAAGAGCCAGCTCCTCCCCACAGCCCCACTGAATCGCTCTGCCAATGTAAAGTGGCTGCGCTCCCACCCTGTCCGGGTTCCCGAGCTGTGGAGGTAGAAGGAGGGATCCCTAGTCCGTGGGGATCTGTCTTGGACCCACACATGGGAAGCATGGGCACAGAATTACCCCTAGGCAGTAGGGGCAACGGTGTTGGGGACGGTTAGGGCACACCAGTTTTTCTGCCTGTGCTCCCCATTCATGCTGGCCTGGAGATTGCTGTGGTGCACCCAGTTTGCCACCACTCTTTTTGTTTCTCCTCTGAACCAGATGGCACCGCCCTGCACCTCACAAATAGCAAGTGCGGTTTGCGGCAGCAGAGCCTTGGCCACCGACCTTGTCTCACAAGAGGTTCGACAGCGGCTTGATACCTGACTCCCAGAGTGGCTGACATTTTCCTGCGAGGACGCTCTGTTCCGGCGTTTCACGTAATGGGACGCGTAGCTTGTGAACTTCTGGGGTCCCTTTGCGTCCTCGTCAGAGGTGTCCATATCTGCAGAGTACGGGGACAGGGGCTGCTCATTCCAGGGACTGCCTTTGGGGAGAGAAGGCTTCAGTACAAAGATACCGGAGATTCATACCCTGAAGTTACTTCTGGGACATTGGTCACATCCTTAGGGCAAGCTAATAATGTGGCATATTTCAAGTGACACTTTCCATCTTCTGGCAGGAGATGCTCCTGCAGAGAGACTGTGCTGACAGCAGAGGCTAAGGACGGCCACACGGGCTCAGGCTGCAGCTCCATCCACTGCGGCTACACAGCGCCGGCTCAGCAGGGCCCTACGCACAAGGCCCTACTGAGATAGAGGTGGGAACAAGGAACGCGATCCTCGCTCTCTCATGGCACAAACAGCTGGGTTTCTCACCAGGCTGGAAAAGCTATTGCCTTTTCCAATTTTGGTGGAGCCCAGGTTTGGACTCTGCCCTTCGTGCACTGTTAAGGTGCTGAAAGACGTTTACCTCAGGCTAGTGAGGTGCCAGTCTAGGAGGGAATATTTAACGGAGCAGACCCAGCACCTTGTAACGGAGTACTTCAAATGAGACGAGAACAATTACAGAAAATGGAATTCATAAGCCTGAGGGCCCTGCTCCTGTGTTGTCCCCGAGGGGCTCAGAGTGGAAAGCTTAAATGGTGCACAGTAAGGTTTTATCTGGTGTTTCCCAGTGCCCTGAAAGTCAAGCACTTGAAAACACAACCAAGCAATTCAGGACGCAGAAGGATCTATTCTATAGCTGCACGTGCACAGACCAGCATCGAACCCTTCTGGCTCCACCATCACAGCAGGACAAACGATATTAATGAAAGGCAAATTCTGTACCTCAATTCCTAGGGCATTTATAGAGTTACCAAACCTCTGACCCCTCAGCCTTGACACTACAGTATATTGACAGTGCACTCTGGAGCACTATGTGAAAGCGAGGACATTAGAGACCACAGCCAAGCCCTCCTGGGGTGCCATGAGAGCTCAGGGCACTTCCCGAGTAGTTTGTCTACTTAGCAACACCCAGTTCTTGGCCAGTATTACGCCAGTTCAAGTCCCCTTGAAACTAAACTTTCTGTACCCACAACATCCTTTGGCAAGGAGTTTCACTCATCTATCCTGGTCTGAAGGAGGAAACACATCCTCTTGTTTTGAGCCTGGGTCCTAGTAGCTAGGTCTTACCTTAGACAAGGCCTCTAGGCATGAAAGGGCCTGAAGACCTTAAGAACAACCCATTAGGCTTTGGGAAATAAGCTAGCTGGGGAGAAGACCGCCACAACCAAAGAACTTGATTCATTCATGAAAAATCACTTCTGCAGTTGGAGACTTCATCTCGATAGTTATGCTTTTGGGTTGTTCAAAAACCAGATGTTATCACTCTGGTCCAACTGCTTTCACAGCCACTCCTCCCCAAAGGGAGACAGGAGGAGTCTGGTCAGAGACACCTACCAGGTTTTGCATTTCTTTCCAGGCTCCTTCTCCGTGAGTTGACTGTGAGCCGAACCTCTGTGCTGAACTCCTGCTCTGGAGGGCTCATGTGCTCTCCCTGTTCCTGCAAGATGTGGTGGTAGACTGCTGCCAGATCTGCCTCTGCGATCATGGACTCCTTCTGGGAGGTGTCTTCAGCAGAGTCGGGAAAATCCGGGAAGGCCTGAGAGATGAGGATTGCTGCTCAGGAGCTGTCAATGAGGACACTCTCTGCCATTCCCTTGCTGAGTTACAGTTTGCCCTCCAATAAATGCATATGTTGACCTTTTTTATAGTGCCAATTCTGAAAACTCTAGCTTAAAAACTGCCCTTTTTTTATCTCGCTGATGAATCCCAAGCAACACTTATAACCACTGCCAGGGGGCAGTGTTAACTTTTCTGAAAACCAGATACAGGCTCCCTTCAGCTAGGCTGAAAAATCTTGGTCCCCAAGATCTAGTCTTTTAAAACCCCATAGTCCTTTCACTTATTAAAATAACAACAGTCTTTTGCCCCTCAAATAATCTTCCCCCTCTGAGTTGAATTCAGGCGATCGCAACAGACGTCAGCCCTCCCTAGACTCATATCGAATTCTGCAGCATAAGGACAGGCTCAGGTAAAGAAAGAATGAACCTATTTGTTTGCCCCAAGCTCTTACCAGTTTATACTAAATTGTGATTTAAAAAAAACCAAACAAACGTTTCTTGCATAACTCAGCATATCCTGGCTCTACCCAGGAGTAGAGTTTAAAGTACTAAAGTTTCATTAAAAAAAAAAAAACTGTTTACTTTTTTTTTTTTTTAAGTGCAATTTCAACAGGAACGGTCCAAACAGCTTGATTCGAAACATCTCAGGCTGCAAGAACTTTTGCCACATCCAGGGCAGCCCTAGGTGGATTCCTTCCCAGAGATTTGGATGCCCGGGATGGCTAACCCTGGCACCGTTGCCCGGACCGTGGCGTCCAGCTCGTCGCGGTTGCTCATGCTAGAGCCTCCCACGGGTCCTGCTGGGGCTCGGGAGCCCAGGCCCCAGCACAGTGCTCCCAACAGGAGGTGAGAAGCCTGGGGAACACAGCTGCCTCTGGGATGCTCTGAGCTTCCTGCTGCAGGGCCGAGGCGTTTACCCAGCAACCTATTTTATGATGAGAGCAAGCAGTGGCACATCGAAACACAGGCCCAGTTCTCTACAGTTTCACCGATAATGCCAAGAAACCCAAATACAACTCCTCTCCTCCTTTCCAACCTTTTAAATTTATTTATTTTTTGTAACTCCCAAGAAAGGAAGGAAAAAAAAAAGGAAGTATCTAATGTTCAGATGGTTCTGTGCCCCACGTTCTCTCCTACGGCTGCTGTGGACTCCTGACCCACAGGTACCCTCACGAGGGCCATGCTGGCTCTGTAGGAGCTTCACAAGGGTAACGGGCCCCTTGATGCTGCCAGTAGGCTACATCCCTCGTGCCACTGCATGGGGAAAAGAGCCAAAAAGCAGAGGGGATGATGGGAGAGGAGGCCGGTTTCATTTCTTTCGTGGAATACTGAATGTTCAACTTGAAAGAAGCAGCTAGAAACTAAGGTGCCTTCACAGCCTTGGGACAATAGAAGAAAACAGTTGCCTGCTGTTATCAGCACAGAAATCTGCAGGAAGACCAGAGAAACTCTCGCTATCCCATCCCACCACTCGTCCTCCCCGATGTCCTGCTTCTGACTCAACTTTAGACAAAGGACTTCTTAAAATGGAAGAAGAGACAGCAAGCGGGGCGAGAGAGAGAGAGTCATCATCTCCCCAAACCACCATGCAATTGCATAGCTGAAGGAAGAAAGAGGTAGCAAGGAGGGAGGGAGGGACAGACAGAAACGCAACCCCCCACCACTCTCCCAGTACCTGGACGCCATCTGGGCTGATGGCTGCTGGAGAGAGCTGCACAGACTGGCGGCGAGACTGAGCAGAGTAGTCTGAATCCAGCTCAAAATCAAAGGGGTGAACAGACAGCAGGCGCTTTGTCTTGCGCATCTTAAGCAGCGTAGAAGAAAGAAAAATTCAGCACAAAACTCAGCTGATCTTGAAGAAGGGGGGAGGTCTCCTGCGTGCAGGGAGCTGGGTATAAAGGACAGCGTGTGCACGCTGTGTGCTTGCTCATACTGGAGCTGAGGAAGGTAGGGTTCCTGATTTCCACGGTCTTTGGATGAGGATCGAGGCTTTGAGCAGGCAGTGAGAAACTCTCCCGGCTTTATAAAGGCGCTATGGGAAAGCTGGGCCAGGCTATGCCTCGGAGGAAAGTCCAGAACTCGCGTCCGAGTCCTGAAGCATTTCCCTGTCTCCAGGGAGGGGACAAGTCCGGCGCCGTTGTGGGCAAGGAGATCTCCCACAACTCTGCCTGGGTACTTGGGAGGGCACTAGCTGCCTTGAGGAAGGAAAGCAGCTTGGAAAAACCTCCAAGACTTCACGAGATCAGATCAAGACGAGGTATCAAGCGTGTGAAATGCAGCAAATACCCATAGCCACAGGCCGAAATGGTATCTATACAACAGCACGTATGGAACGGTACTGGCGTTTGAAGCGCACAGGCAGATTTCACATACGCTGCAAGGATAAACACGCTTCATATCAGGACTACGTAATCTGCATTTCAATCTCTGCGCACAGTCCCAGTAAAACCCAGGAGATAAACTGACACGCTCATGAACTGGCTTAAGGCTGACTTTTTAAAGACGTGAGACGGACACAGTTAAGAAGTCCTCTTTCCCACTTTCTGATAATTCCTACCGCACACATAGAGCTTTTTACCTCTGAGCCCCTTACAAAGGGTGGGTTTTACTGTAGCTCCCGGGTTACAGTCTGGGAAATAGAGGTCCAGAGAAGCAAACTGCTCACGATCATACTGCAGACGCTCTCACAGAGTTAAGGGCAAAACCAAAAAACCCAGGTCTCCCAAAACCCAGCTCTGTGCTTTGCTGTTTTATAAAGTATCTGCTCTTCTAGTAAAAATGAGGCGGGTGTGGGTAGGACCTGGGACTTTCATATTCATTATGGACTTTGTGAGCGTCAGGAGCAGGTCCTTTTTTACAGAGGGCAAATATCTGGAGTTTTTCTGACTTGGCTCCTTCTGCACACACTGAAAGGGGTTTATCCCAGAGAACAAAAACAGATGGAAGGCCCCGATTTTGAACAAGGCACACTGAAAGCCACCACCACCCAAGAAAGGCCAGAAGCAGCTGAGGGCACAAAGGTGGGGCAGAACCGGCCGCCGGCCGAAATGCTCACTCTGCTGTAGCACTCTGCTTCGGCTCCACGAAGGACATCATCTCCATCGTCACTGTCATCCCCAGTCCCGCCGCTGGTGGGGAGCTGGCATTCACCTGGAGGAAGACAAGGCACAGTGACCATGAGCGACGCCAGGACCTCCTTTCCAGCAGTCTTCCCCTCGGGCACACCCATGCACCTGCAGATGAGGCTGCACTTCTTACCTGGGTTGAAAAGGGCTGGATTAGGAGTACTGCTTTTTTTTTTTTTTCCCCTTTTCCCCCCTCTCCACACACTGCAGCTTGGCCAGGAGGTTGCACAACTAAAGACAAGGGGACGAAGCATGGAAAACAAGCAGGAAATTCCTATGCTAGCCCCATCGCTGAAGCTGGCATGCAGTGATGCCGCAGCCTAAGGCCTGTATGCTAGTGGGCTTTTTGGGGTGCAGCTCCCAGGCAGCAGTGCGGATATCTATGCGTAACCCTTGATCTTGCAAAAGCTCAGACGGGCTCTCGTTTCTCTCCCTTCAAGCTCTGCCCCACACGGACATGGAAGTGGCCGTAGCAGGAGCCACCGTGTGCCCATGCCTCCGGGAGCATCTTTAGGTCTAGTGTGCCCCGTGGCCAGAGGGCGTGAAAAGCAAAAGGCATTGAGAACACGGCTTGGACTTGAAGCCACGTGGTGCAATTCTCTTTTAAACAGTAATCCCCAAAATAAACTTACTGTTAATGTCTGGCAGGCTGTAAACTCTGTCATGAAGACCTAAACGAAAGGAAAAATTTGGGGGAAAAAGAAATAAATACCTTTTCTCCAGGTACTTTGCACAGAACAAACCTCTGAGCTAAAATTAACTGAAGTTCCCACCCTCTAACCATCACAAGATACAATCAGCAAAAAGACTCTTTAGAGAGAAAAAAAAAAACTGTCCTGCCAAACAGAACCTGACTTTTCAAAACTGAAGAGCTTCTGGCCACCACCTCCACAGTCCTGACGAAACATACCACTGCCTGGGGATGTGGCAGGAGGGGAAGCCACAGCTGGGCCAGCAGATGACATAAGGCCACTCAAAATGCAATGGCCTAGCATCATTCTGCCAAATTACCTGCAAGCAGAGGTACATCCCACGAGGATGTTCTTGCTTGCTCAAGGACCAAGCCATGTCACCAGGGCTAATTACGTAACAATAACAAAATCATTTGTCCTTCTGGAGAAGACATCAGAATTTCAGTTTCTACATTTCTAGAGTCTAAAGCATTGCAATCCTCGCGCTCAGTTCGTTTCTCTCTCGGATTGTCCTCGCCGAGCGGTCTGATGCATTTTCTGACTGACCGCTACATAAACTGTTCCCAAGTCCTTTAATTTCATGCTCAGTGCGGCTACCCTCCGCGCTCTTTACAGCGTTTCTGCAACGAGCGGTCTGGATAGAAGAACAAGCGGACTGCGTGAATCAGCTCACGCTTATGCCCTTTGTGCCAACTTTTCTGTGGCTCTCTGTCAGGAGAATAAAATTACCTTAGGCGCATCGTTTTGTAAAGGCAATAGACGTAAGTACCATTTTATGCGATCCTATGAACGGCAACTAAAAGTTATCCAGTGAATGACACTGCATTAACAGCAACTGCGGAGATATGTTTATACACTGTCAGACCAATCTCAGAAATAACGAAGACCCAATCAGGCTCCAAAGAACGTAGCGATGGTGACAGCTAACTCGTTAGCTCTGAAAAAATCATTAGGTCATGGGGAGAAACCAAGCGCTGGCTCTACCTACGCTCTGTTTTTTGGACCTGTAGGGAAGTTCTCCTCTGCGACCAAAAGAATCAGGAGAAAGAAAAGCAAGAGCTGCAGCTCTACGTAATTACAGCCTGCCGAACGGAAGGCTTTCAAAACTTAAAGTGTGAAATATTCCGACGTCCGTGGCAAAATCTGAAACGTTAACGGGGGGAAACGTTTCCACAAAGAACATCTGCACAGCCACTCTCAGTGTGACTACACCACTTTGAACCTCCGCTTCCTCCCCATCCCTGGGGACGCTCAAAAGCGCGCGCCAGCTTGCCCGTCTCCGGCTGAGAAAACGCCGCGGCTGTAAAAGTGGAAATCACGGCAAGCCACACGCAAATCCCAGCTAGCCACAGGCAGAGCAGAGGGAGAGGGGAGGAGGTTTGAAAGCTGAAAAGCACCGCCACCTGCCGACAACTGGGACCGCAGGCAGACGCTCCCTGCTACGGCGGGGCTGCGACCTCAGCGCTTGGGCTGCGCCCGCAGTCTCAGGAAAGGGCGTTTTTGCTGCAGCGAGGATTAAATCCTGGACCGCCGCAGGTGCGGGTGACAGGTGACTTCCAGCTCCGGCCTTGCAGGCAAACACGGGGACTCGGATCGACCTCAGCCGACCGTCGGCTGGCCGGTCTGTTCAAAACGCTGCACCCGTGCACCGCAAGCCGGACGCTGCTCCTCACCTGGCTGCAACCTGCCGTAGAGTGACTGCAGCACTTTGGCGCTGCCAAATCGCTTGAAACGGGACCGCACGTGCTCATAGTACCACTCGAGGGACCCAATCTTCACAATCCTGCCCAGAGAGAGGAGAGAAAACGTACGGGTGAGCCAGGATTTCTTGCACCTTAGCCCAACGGCCTGTCCTACCTCTCGCCACCGTCGCGACACCCCGCCAAGGAGAGGCGCCAGCCGGCCAGTACCTGGATGAACGGCAAGGGTCGCAGACACAG